ATTTCACCTTCTCTTCCCAGCTGAGGCCCCAGGCATGGGAGAAAGCCCTGCCATGATCAGCCCACAAATGACCCATGACTGTCCGCAGGAGCATGAGTGCAGCCACCTTAGACCAGAAGAATCACATAGACTTGAGCGCCATTTTCCTGTTTTTTATTTTAAGCCACTGAAGTTGGAGGTGGTGTGTTATGCAGCCATAGCTGACTAATACCCATAGAAAGCTATTGGTGTACCTTCTCCCTCCTGTCATACTCCATGTCTATATATCTTGATCTTTTTCCTATCTAGACTAAAGTTCCCGGGGCAGAGAAATTACAAGTTCTTAGGGTAAGAGCATAGACCCTGGCATTGGACAGAGTTCAAATCCCAGGTCTGGCATTGTCAGAGATAGTACCCGTGGCGAGTAAATTTTGAGCTATTACATGGGAATAATAGCATCTATCATATGAGGTTCTAATAGGGGTTGAATCAAGCAGTAGATGGGAAAGACACCAGCACCTGGACTCTCCTTCTCTTTCCACAGGAAGCTCAATGTCTTGCACATAAAACAACATTCAATACATGATGATCAAAGTCATAATTTTCTTGACAAGGTTGAGCTTACCTGTTAAGCTCAGTTACCTGATGCTCAAAGAGAAGGCACAGGTCATAGCCCCACTTGAAGGCATAACAGGAGTCTTCTCCCATTAGCCAATGATGATAATCCAAATACCAATAATAACAGAAATACATGGCATTTGCTTACAGCTTACAAAGCACTTTCACATATATTACATTGTTGAATTTCCCACTCTGCAGAGCCTCTGAGGATCAGCATTGTCCCCATTGTACAGCCTCAAAGAATAACATTGGAGTCAGTACTTTGCCCTTTGATACACAGCCCAGAAGTGGCAGGACTGGGACTCCCAGGGCCCACACCGCCCCTAGTAAACCAGTTTATTGCAGCACTGAGGGCCCATGAAGTTTCCCGCTAATAGGATATTAACCTCTGCTTTCTTGTTTACTGAATGCAGATAACTTGAAATGTTCCTCATTTCCTGAAAACACAACTCAAACCTCACTTTGGCTCAGCACCAAGGTTTTGGGTTTTTTAGTTGGGGAACCTTTTTTCTAAGGCAAAGAACCTCTCATTGCCCTCATCACTCACTGCCAGGAAATAAAAGGACCCACAGCAGTTCTCAAGAACCATCCAAGCCAAACTCTGCAGCTGACACGTGGGTGGCCAGCCGATTGCACCGAGGGCCCTTCTTCCATCATCACTGGAGCATCCTCTCCAGCCACCACTGGACAATGTGTTCCGGCAGCTGAAACCTTCAAGGATTAGAGTATTTCTTGAATAAAGATCATCACCTCGTTTCTAGAAGGACAGTAGGAAAGACAGGGCTACCTCCTGGCGGTGTCAGTCAGCGCATGGACAGAGTCTTCCCTCCCCACAGGCAGATTTCTGTCCTCAGTCAGATCAGAGTTTGGGAGGTGGGCACGGGGGATATGAAATGCCAGTGAAACTGTAAGATCAGTTTCTGCCTTCCAGGAGCTCGAAATGCAAATGGGTCCTGGGAAATGCCCTTCTGGGGAAGCCAACTCCAGGGAATTTCTCAAAAGTTAAAAAGTTATTTGGACAAAGATATTGATAGCAGAGTGATTCAGTGTTAAAAGCCTAGAAATTGCCCAAATACCCAACAAAAGAGAATTGGTTAAGCAAACTTCGTGTTATCAAATTGATGAAATATTGCTTTACCATTAATAAGGATGATGATGAAGTTTAAGTAGATCCATGGAAAAGTACATGCAAAATAGTGCTTGTAAAACAAAAACTGCAAAACAGTTTCTGAGCACTCAGACTTGTGTAAAATCATATATGCTCAGCGACAATGACTGCAGGAAGACATCATAAAATAAAAATAGCAGTTGTTTTAAGGTAAATGGGCATGATGGTAATTGCTTGGTCATGTAAGTCAAATATGCAGTGAGGAGTCTAGAAACTAGCAAGAGAAACACACGTGTTATCTGACTTTTAGAACACCGTGTAAAGCACCAATTGTGAAAATTAGAATTAAAAAACACATAGCAGTGGGGGAATTATTGTGGATTTGGGTGGCTTAATGATGGATCCCCAGTGTGTTGGTGTTCCCAACACACAGACCCTCAGAAATTCAAAGCCACACCATACAGCAATACCTAAAATGGGATTTCAGTTACAAGGCCAATGTTCTGGGGAGAGTTTTGGAGTTCAGGGAGGTCTATTCAGTGTCCTTCAAATCACATCAATAACTTTGCTTCTCATCCATCACTTGGAGGATCAGCCTCAACTGCATTCGAGTTTTTTTGTTCTGTTTTTTAATATAAATAGCAAGCACCGCATAAGGATAAGAAAGAACAAAGATGAGCAGTGAAAAGGTGAGCTGTGCATCCAATCTGATTCAAAGAAGCTAGACCTTACTATCAGAATGCTCAATGCAGGATGTTTCTGGGGGTCAAAGGGAGGTCAGTGCATATATTCCCTTTAAATACCTTCTCTAACCCACTGGTTAGTGCCCCAAATTGCACTTGAGTTTGGGACTCAACTCATCTGTTCTCAAACTTAGTGTGAGGTGAACTTCAGATGCTTGATAAATATACAGATTCCAGGGCCCCACCTTCCTGATTCAGACTACAGACTTCAGTATTTGTCAACAAGCCTGTCAAGTGATGCTAATACATGTGGTCCTAGGGCTACACTTCAAAAAGCATGGAGCTAAAAGACTTTATATTAAAATGCAAATCCTAACCCAGACTTACCACCCCACTTGCCTCCTTGAAGCCATATGGGTCATTTTCACATTTTAATGAGGAGGGAGAAGGAAGACCCCAAGGGCATAGGACCCTGACAAAGAGGGGGTAGGTCTCCCACCCCCAGGGTTTAGAGGTGGAGAGCAGGAGGCCAAGGCCCTTGCATCCAACTTTCCTGATGCCATCTCTGCCACCACTAGCCAATGGTGTATGACGTCTACCATCTTGTTGTGAATGGATTGGGGTGTGTGAGTTTTGGAGCTCAGGCTGGGACAGGCACAAGAATGGAATCGGGATTGTGGTTGTTGCCTCTTGGATCTTCTAACTTTCTCAAGGTGCTCACAGATAGAGACTGACTTAAATAATAATATTGAAATAATTTTTAAAATACCTCGAGAGTAATAAAGTGTTGCGGGAACTGGGGCAGAGAAGGGCGTGACTAATAACTCTGTGTGGGGGCGGGGGTGGGACTCATAGATGATTAGTTCATGGCCTATTAGTTAAGGGTCAGGCATTGTATAAGACGATAATTTCATACTCACAACCACCCTGCAGAAGGAGGTATTGTTTTATGTGGGTGAACGTATGTCTCAGGAAGATCGGCTGTATATACAGCATCGTACAGTGGTGATTTGGATGCAAGTCTGTTCAACCCTGAAATGTGAGGTGTGATCTCCCCCTAGGATTCATTTGGCTATGATCTTGGGTGAGTCATTTCCTCTCAGGTTCCTCATCATGACAACAGGGTCGGGTTCCCTGTGTGACCCCGAGGTCCTCCCAGCTCAGAGCCCCGAGAGGAGCTTACCAAGACGTCAAGTGGAAAACCACTGGACCTGAAGGGAAAGGAAGATCTTGCTCTCCAAGAGGGATCGTTGCCTTCCAAAGAGGAGTCATCGTGAGACAGGATGCCGGCGCTACCTCCACCCCCTGCCAGACTTTAGGGCAATCGCTCTTAGACCTGAGTGAGAGGTGAGTATGGATGAGCTCCAAAGCCAGGAATATTTCATCAAGTTGCAGCAAAACTCCCAAGGAAACAGGATGAGATTATTTTTTTCTGGTTTCATATTTTGATCCTAATCTCTCATCTCTGTTCGAAAGTTGACTGATCCTCAGTGCAGTAGAGGATAGAGGAAGTCTTCTTTGTTAGTAGTTTAAAAAAAAAACAAAAACATTTTTGGCCGCTGGTGGCTTTAGCAGCCTGCAGTGCTACACAATAAGTGGGCTAGGAGGAAGGCAGTAAGGGGGGGATCCTCTCTGGGAAGGACCACCCATCAGGCTTAGCCTCCCTGAGATCAAAGGCAAACAGAAGGAAAAATCAGCTGTGGGTGGCTTCAAACCTCTGACTTGAAGCTGTTAGGAAAAGAAGAGATCCCCACCTCAGCTCCACCCCTACCCTGCTCCCTCCCCTCCCACCAAGCCTCCTAGGTCACCAGAAATGCTCTTTAACCCACACCCGTTCCTGCCCCCAGCAAGGGGCCTGCACAGGGGCCCCCAAAGTGCCTACCACAGGCTCAGAGAAGAGGACACGGAGACTGGTCCTCCCCTTCCTGGGGCAGCAGCCTTGGCCAAAGTCTGGTCACAAAGGGCACCAGGGCAGCTCCAGGAACAGCCCTGGGCGTCATCACTTCAGCTGCCTCACCCAGCAGCTGCTCAGGGATGTGAGCCCCACCCCTTGGTCCAGATTATTTCCCTTTCTCTGTGGACAAACAGCCGCTTGCAGGGACCCCATATGATGCTTTGACACCCAGAACCTTGACACCAAACATTTCCCAGCTGTGGAAACAGGCAGAGCAGCTGTGGCTGATCAAACCATGGGGAGCAAAGCAAAAGACACCTCACATTTGGACCATTCCCCACAGAGCTGGAGAGTAGCTTTAGCTTCTTCTACTAGTAACAGTAGCAAAGGCTTGCTATATACTTTTATACGGGTGATCTTATTTATGCCTCAAGGGCTTCCCAGTGGTGAAGAATTTGCCTGCCAATGCAGGAGACACGGATTGGATTCCTGGGTCGGGAAGATCCCTTGGAGGAGGAAATGGCAACCCGCTCCAGTATTCTTGCCTGGAAAATTCCATGGACAGAGGAGCTTGGTGGACTATAGACCACGGGGTTGCAAAGAGTCGGACATGACTAAGTACGCACACACACATATTTATGTCCCAAGTAGCCAGGTGAAGCGATTCTGGTTATTTATTTATCTTGCAAATGAACGAATAGAGGCTTAGAAATATTAAGAGGTAGAGACAAAACAGTCTGGTTCCAGAGTCTAAGCTCTCAACTTCTATACCATGGGGAACTCTGGATTCCTCTCAGAGTTGGAAAAAATCCATCTTGTCTTCCATTCCATGATAACCAGTTAATGGGAAGTTTTTAAAGGCACCTCTCCCTCCTGAGAAAAGAGGGAGCTCTTATTTCAGACGTCGCAGGGCACTTGTTTGTTGGGAGGGGGAGTGCCCTGGGTGGGGAGTGGGGAGGGTGCGTGCTCAGGACCCCTGCGATCAGTCATCTTGGCTTGCCAGCTGCTGCAGGCCCCTCGGCCTCTGACCCCAGGCAGAGCCTAGGCCCTGGGGCCCTTTTCCCCTGCACCTGACTCTCCTCCAACATATTCTACAGCTAAGTTGAGCTAGTGGGCTCTTGGCTGCCAAAGTCACCTGTTCCTGCTTTGAGTCACAAACATTTTTACAAAGGCCTTTCAGAAGTAAAATGGGAAGTGTTGGGGTTTTGTGACACCACAGGAAGTCTGAGGGACAGATCTCTATCTTTTCCTCAAATCAAACCTGGGAGGTTGTCACCTTGCCTTGCGGTCCTCACATTCAAGGGTAGAAAAAATCTTGCAGGGGTGGGGGTGATTAAGTGGGGTGTGGCCATGCTATGGAAACAATCTAAGCATTGTCAACAGATGAATGGATAAAGAAAATATGGTGGGTAGTATGTATACATATACATACACACACTATGTTTATGTATAAATATATGTACACACATATACATATATACACAATGGAATGGGGGGACTTCCCTGGGGGTACAGTGGATAAGAATCTGCCTGCCAATGCAGGGGACACAGGTTTGATCCCTGATCTGGGAAGATTCCACATGCTGTGGAGCAGCAAAGCCCTTGTGTCACNGACTTCCCTGGGGGTACAATGGATAAGAATCTGCCTGCCAATGCAGGGGACACAGGTTTGATCCCTGATCTGGGAAGATTCCACATGCTGTGGAGCAGCAAAGCCCTTGTGTCACATTTACTGAGCCCATGTGCTATAGCTACGGAAGCCTGTATATCTAGAGCCTGTGCTCTGCAACAAGAGAAACAACAAAAAATGAGAAGATGCCCATCCACGGCAGTGAAGAGTAGCCCCCACTCGCTGCAACTAGAGAGTCTGTGTGCAGCAATAAGGGCAGAGAGCAACCAAAATAAATAAATAAAAAGGAAATCCTGCCTCTTCTGACAGCATGGATGAACCTGGAGGACATTATGCTAAGTGAAATAAGCCAGACATAGAAAGACAAATGCTGCATGATCTCACTCATACACGGAATCTAAAAAATAGTCAAACATAGTAACAGAGAGTAGAATGACAGTTACCAGAAGCTGGGTGATAGGAGGGATGAGGGAGATTTTGGTCAAAGGGTCCATCTTTCAGTTGTAAGATGAATAACTTCTGGACACCTAAAGTGCAGTGAATGCGGTTGCTTGAAATTTGTGTTGTGTACTTGAAATTTGCTGAGAGTAGACCTTAAGTGTTCACCCACACACACACACGCATACAAAGATGCATTAATGTGTTAATGCATTATTATTGTTAAGATGTGTTAATTAGCTTGATTGTTGTAATCATTTCACCGTGTCCATATATATCAAAACATCATTTTGTACACTTTATACAATTTATAGTTGTCGATCAGACCTCAGTAAAACAGAAAGGAAAAGAAAAAGTGGTGTGTGGCATCTGCCTCTTGCAGATACCTGAAAACCTAACAGAAGAGATCAGGAAGTTGGACTACTGAGGGCAGAAAGAGTGTGGTGGGTGTGTCTGAAGGGAGCAGTGTCAGCTTAACATAAGTAAGACTGCTTTTTTGTTATTGTTATTATTACTCTCACAGCTGCTGTTTACTGAAGACAGCAAGTGTGTTGAGCTTTATGCTAAGGACTCATATCTATGCTGCCTTAAGTAAGCTTCCTAACAGGGCTGGGAAGTAGATGCCTGCTATTAATTAGTGTCCTTATAGCACGGATGAGGAGTTAAGCTCAGTGAAGTTCAGTAACTGGTTGAATGTGGCTGAGTTAGCAAGTGGGGAAGGTCCCTACCCACACCTGGCTCCACGTCCACACTTTTAACCGTTAAGACCCATCCTCTCCCCCACCCCCTAGAGGTGCTCCCCATTCTCAGAGGTATTCCAGAGATGCTGTAAATAACCTGCCTGATCTCAGGAATCACCCTAGATGTTCCCTCATACCCAGCATCCCAGGCCTTACCGCAGAACCGCAGTTGAACCTCCAGGGAGGGCCGCAGTTTGTTTTCAGCAGACACTAGGCAAGCACTGAGGAAGCTGGACCAGATGCATCTCAGGGCTTCCAACTCCTGTGTGGACTGAGATTTTATGATTCTATTTTTAGGCAAGTCTTTCCTGAATCAAAGTGTCAGACTTTCTGGCACCTTCTAATGGCTCTAGGGCACCTGAGCTGTCTTCAGAGCCACCCTGATGCCCCAGAGATATGAGGAACAGGGCTGGGAGGAACTCTGGGAGCCAGCAGAAAGCAGAGGGAAGCCAGATTTGCCGAGTGGGAGGCAGGTGGGGGAGGTGAGGGAGAGACATCCTTTCATTTCCAGCTCCAAGGGGGATTCTTGATTCTTTCTACCCTGAGGCCAACAGTTAGGAGCCTGTTCTCCCTGTAACGGCTCCCTTGCAGACAAGTTATGCCTTATCTGAAAGTGTGGAGAGAGGGAGAGAGTTTTCCTTGGACCATTTTCCCAACTAGTTTGGTGGGATGGAAGATGGCTTTGGGGAGATGAGTAGAAGGAACAATGTTAGAGAAGTCCTGTTTCTAGGAGTCTCTGCGTGACCAAAATGATGGATGGGGATGCTTGCCGAGCCTCCCCATAAGGCAGCCTCTCTGTTAACCCTCATGAGAATCTTAGGAAGTAAGTGCTATGACTGCTTGCATTTTACGGACCAGTTAACAAGCTTGGAGAGTGACATTACTTGTCCCCAGCCCCACAATAACTGACAGAGCCTTCAGATCTCACTGATGGGGGTACCGCACTTTCCTGGTGGCTCAGACAGTAAAGAATCTGCCTGCAATGCAGGAGACCCAGGTTTGATCCCTGAGTGGGAAAGATTCCCGGGAGAAGGAAATGGATACCCACTCCAGTGTTCTGGCCTGGAGAAGTCCTTGGACAGAGGAGCCTGCTGGGCTACAATCCATGGGGTCACAAAGAGTCGGACACAACTGAGTGACTAACACAACAACCGTGCCACATGCTGCCTCTCAAGCCCCCAGAGAACTTCAGTGTTTCTTAACCTGCTTTTGGATCACTGACTTTGGAAGATGTGCCAAAAAGCTATTATTTTGTCATCACAGCTAATGATCAGTAATATTTGCCATGGCCTGAGTAATCTTCTAGGTGCTTTGCTTGTACTGATTCATTTCATCCTAGCAACAACTCTATAGGGTATACCCATCTAATGGATGAGAAAACAGAGCCTCAGAGAGGTTGAGTAACTGTGTCAGTGCTTGTAAACTGCAAGAGCCAGACTTCAAATTCAGTGAGTTTGACCCCGAAGTCTACATCATTAACTATTATTCTATTCTGCCTTACTCCAGAGAAGCATGCACCCTTCCCCGCTCAATACACATAAAACTGTGTACTTAATTTTAGGGAATATAAGATAAGGCTCTTCTGAAATCCTCTTTTGGGGACCAATTCTAGGTTAACAATGACTATGGATGAATTAAAAAAAAAAATCAAAGCTCAAAACAAAGATGCGCATTTACCCATCCAGGAAGACCACATGCTAGAGCAGAGAAGCACAGGCCTGGTGTCTTTGTCCAGGCTGCCCTGCAGCTCTCTTTCCCCTTCACCAATCCCAGATCCTAGCATCTACCCCAAGGCTGATGAAAAGGTCAGCTCTAACCACGCCTTCTTCTGAGAGCCCATGCTATTGGGCAACTCCATCTCACACCTGTCCCCTTGTCCTGAAACTACTGGGCCTACATTTGCCTTCCTGGGAGGGTAAGAGCCAGTGGTCAAGTCCAGGGGGGAGGGGCAAGTAAGGAAGTGCTACAACTAGATCAGAGGTGTCTTAAATCTTAGTTTATAGCAGAATCAACTGTTCAAAAGCAGATTCCTGGCCTCTGCCCAAGATTCTGATTGAGTCCACCAGAGATGTTTTTAATCAAGGCCTTGAGTATTTCTGATGAGAGGGCCCAGTGACCAAGACTCCGATCAAGGTCGGAGTCCACGTTGTCCCTGTTGTGGGAAGCTGTAGTTGAGAGAAGGACTCTCAGTTAGCTCTACTCACACTTGGGGCAGGCTGGGAGCTCCTGGGTTTGTGCACTGGGCAGTGAAGGAAGGAAGAGGCAGTCCGGGATCTTCTTCCTGGTGCTGCCTCCCTGACTCCCCAGTGGAGTGCCTGACATCGGCCACTCGCCGGTCCTCCCTCCCCACTTGTTTCCAGTTGCTGGACTTCACCATGTCTCCTCCCAGGTCTCTGCTCTGAAAGTTACTGAGGGATACAAGGCTGAACTTGATAGGACGAGACGTAGTTCCTGGCCTCAAGGGACCAGAGTCTAGTTGAGAAGGTGAATAAGTCAAGCGAGAAATGTCAGTGAGCCTGGGGCATTTGAAATCAAGGGATTCTGGGAGCCAGAGCCCAACCCAGGGCCAAGACGACTGAGTGTTGGAGAAGGGAGGTGATTCCCAGTGAGAGGCTGCAGTGAACGCTGGTTGAGGGTGTAGAGGTAAACATCAGGGGACCTGGGAAGTAGGGTAACTGACTCATGTTTTCTGGGGAGAGAGGCAGTTCCCAGGATGCAGAACTTTCAGTGAAAAGTCCTGCAAGTGCTTGCTCAGTTGTGTCCGGTTCTTTGAGACCCGTCTGCTAGGCTCCTCTGTCCAGGGGATTCTCCAGGCAAGAATACTGGAGTAGCTTGCCAGCCCTTTCTCCAGGGGATCTTCCCCACTCAGGGATCAAACCCAAGTCTCATTATGTCTCCTGCATTGCAGGCGGATTCTCTACCACTGAGCCACCTGCAAAGTCCTGGGCAGACCCTATAGGGAAGGCAGGTTGAGATCACCTTCAGAAGGTCCCAAGTGCTTCCCCAAGGCACACAAGAGCCCACCTGAATTTTTCAGGACACTAGGCTCTTCCCATCCAGGGAGGAGGTGAAAGAAAGCTAGGGTATCTGGAGATTTGGGAACCCACATCTAAATACTCCAGGCTTTTTTTACAAACCTTGAAACGTCCCTTGAAAGACAGAGGCTGAACCAGTTCACCTCAAGTTTCAAGTAAACAGATGAGTTATACTCCAAGAAGCAGGAGGAGGAGCAGTGACTAAATTAGTTCTTAATTGAGCTCTTACCATGCGTCAGGACTGTGATAAGGGGCTAATAGAGACTGTCTCATTTAATCCTCATAACTTCCTGGTGAGGCAGATTTCATTACCCCCATTAGACAGATGGGAAGAAAGAGGCACAAAGAGAGCAGATCCTGCTCAAAGCCACACGACTGGTTAAGTGCTGAGTTGGGACTTGAAAAAAAGCACACCTTAATTGAGGAATAAATAAAGATCCACAGGATGTTAGCTCTAATTGGTCAGTATGAAACACCTCAACGTTTTAAAGAATACTCACCCGTCACATAGAACCAGAAAAAGAAAAGACTTAGGCCAAGTCACGGCAGTTTTAAAAAAAAGGACAATCCAATAGCTAGAGACATCAAAGTGAGTCTTCGGAGTTTAAGCAGCTTTCTGAATGTCTAAGTTGAAGCAAGAAGCAAGAGCTTCAATAAACCTGTTTTCCCAGACAGAAAGGTGCTTTCTGGTCGGTGAGGATAAGCAGCATTTGAAAAAGGAATGAAAGAATGGTTGCATTTCTGGAGCCTGGTGAATAACAAAGAAGGCCTCTGTCATTCTCTGGGTCCGGCAAGGTGACACTGCTAATCCTAAAATCTATTCCACAATCGCTCCGCCAGTGAGAGGCCGCTGTCCCCGCGGCCTTCACCAGAGTCACACAGGCTGAGTCAGAAGATGAGGGCACCCCTCACCTGACTTTTCCCTTCATCTGCCCTATGGCAGTATTTTTCAAACTTTCCTACCACAACCCACAGTGAGAAACACATTTGCTGGCCTAACCCAGCACAGACATATGTGTACATATGTTTCAGGAAAAAAAAAAAATCTGTCTTAAATGCAGTGTGCTCTTATTTTCCATTCTAGTCAAATTCATTTGTTTTAAGCTGGTTGTGTACAAGTGCTAAGTCACTTCAGTTGTGTCTGACTCTTTGCATCCCTACGGACTGCAGCCCGCCAGGCTCCTCTCTCCATGGAATTCACCAGGCAAGAACACTGGAGTGGGTTGCCATGCCCTCCTCCAGGGGATCTTCCTGACCCAGAGATTGCAACTGGCTAAATTTATTTCACTGCCCACTAATGGTTTATGATCCACAGTTTGAAAAAGTAAAACTACTTCATACTGTGAGCAGGGCCGGGGCAACTGAATAGGGGGTGTTAATGACAAGAGTTTCTATTTCGGTCATTATCTCTACCATTGCGTCTATGAACAGTGTTTTGTGTTTGCCCTGCTTTCATCTAAACAGAGTTTGTCAAACTGTGTTCCATGGATTATTTATTTTATATTATTTATATTTTATAATATAAATACTTTATATTTATTTATATTTATTATATTCATATTATTATTTATTCCAGGAGGTTTTAATAGTTGTTTTCCTCCAAAGTGGTGCTGTGGTCAGAAGAGTTTGGGACATGATACATACTGTTCAGTTCAGTTCAGTTCAGTTGCTCAGTCGTGTCCAACTCTTTGCGACCCCGTGAGTCGCAGCACTCCAGGCCTCCCCGTCCATCACCAACTCCCGGAGTCTATCCAAACCTACGTCCATCGAGTTGGTGATGCCATTCAGCCATCTCACCCTCTGTTGTCCCCTTTTCCTCCTGCCCCTAATTCTTCCCAACATTAGGGTCTTTTCCAATGAGTCAACTGTTTGCATGAGGTGGCCAAAGTATTGGAGTTTCAGCTTCAACATCAGTCCTTCCAATGAACACCCAGGACTGATTTTCTTTAGGATGGACTGGTTGGATTTTCTTGCAGTCCAAAGGACTCTCAAGAGTCTTCACCAACACCACAGTTCAAAAGCATGATACATACTGTAGCCACACCCAAATGTCACAATGCAGTTATCATCTTTAAGGCTCTAAGAAGGTCTGCAGTGGAGGACTTTACCTCTGTTTACCAGGCCTCCCCTAGACCTTTTTCTTTAACCACAAAGAGTCCATATTCCTTCCTGGAGTGCTGCTGTCCTCAGAAACCAGTCAGGGTCTGGGGGCATCACACTCGCCTTTGTGACCTCACTCTGTCCCTGAGAAGCCAATGTTATTGGGATGCTGTTGGAACAGGCAGTGCACCTACTTGTCTGATTTCCCATATCAAGTTGGTGGGAGCTGGGCCAATGCCAGACCTCCTGACACGATCAGATGGGGGAGCCCTCAGACAGCCCCACGGCTCCTGAAGTGCCACTTTCCCAAAGTGTCACCGTGAGCTGCATCCAGGACCAGTGGAAGGGTGCCGAGTGTGCCAGGAATTCAAAGCTCAGTCCGAAGAACCTTGAGCTGCTCAAATTCCCTGAGCAACAGGAGTTGAAAGTCAGCACAGTGAAAGTATTAGTCGCTCCATCATGCCTGACTCTTTGCCACCCCAAGGATTGTAGCCTGCCAGTCTCCTCTGTCCACGGAATTCTCCAGGCAAGAATACTGGAGTGGGTAGCCATTCCCTTCTCCAGGGAGTCTTCCTGACCCAGAGATCAAACCCAGGTCTCCTGCATTGGTAGACAGATTCTTCACCAATGAGCCACCAGGGAAGCCCAGGAGTCAGGGCAGTGGGTGGCTATTGTCTTCATAATTGGTATTTGAGTTTCTTAACCCCTATTCAGGGGTGGAGGGAAAGCAATGGCAAGGCCCCCATCCCTTTTTAGTCTCCAGGGTAAAATGAACATACTCTGTACCCCGTCTGCACCTTGCTTTCTAACTTAATGATGGATCCTGTAAATTGCTCCCTTTTAGAACACAAAGAGTTTTCTGACTCTTTTGTACTCTCTATATATTATGGCCCTGCATAGATGCATCATAATGTATTTAACTAGCCTCCCACTGATGAACATGGATCACTTCCAGTGCTTTCTATGAGAAACAATTCTGCCGTGGATAATCACATACCTAAGTTGTGCACACCTGTGAGTGTGTGTATAGGATGAGTCCTAGGAGTAGAACTGCCGGGTCAAGGCACATTCGCTTCCTTAGGTGGTATTGGGGGCTGCCTTGAGACTCTGCTCTGGCAGGGGGATCCCAGGGGAAGACTTGGGGTTCTCCTTTCTCTTTTGTTGTTTCATCTTGGCTGATTTCAGGTACTGAGACTGGACTCAGGAAACATAGGGGATAATTCTGCCCTGTCTTAAACCAGGTGTATGATCTTAGATCAGTCACATGCCTAACCCAAATTTTTCCCCTCTGTTGTAAAATCAAGGTGTTAGAACACAAGATATGAAGATCTACCACCTCCTCATTCTTTGTGACTCTGGTAGGTGTTCTTGCTGAATTTCTCAGGGATGTGTCAGGGCAGCAATGAACTGTTCTTTCCCCCTTGTCTTACCTGCATTCTAAACACATTTCTCATTTATGAAATGACTGGTTAGGATCAGGTCTTTTGGTCTCATTCTTTAGGAAAGGCTGTGTGGCTTGTCTCTGTTATCTCTTTCCACAAAAATAGGATCTTCATGTGCCTGGGGATGTTGTAGATTTCACTGCTGAATCCCAATGTCTAGAGCAGCACTGTTCAATAAACATACAATGTGAAAAGACGACATTGACATACCATGAAAGAAAGAAAGTGAAAGTGAAGTCATTTCAGTTGTGTCCAACTCTTTGCAACCCCATGGACTGTAGCCTACCAAGCTCCTCCATCTATGGGATTTTCCAGGAAAGAAAGAGTGGGTTGCCATTTCCTTCTCCAGGAGATCTTCCCAACCCAGGGACTGAACCCAGGTCTCCTGCATTGTAGGCAGATACTTTACCATTTGAGCCACCAGGGAAGTCTGGGGGAAGACATGCCATGACACATCTCTTAGAATGGTGAAAATATGAAACAAACACCAAACGCTGGTGAGGATGTGGACTAATAGGAACGCTCATACATTGCTGTTGAGAATGCAAAATGGTGCAGCCACTTTGGAAGACAGTTTGGCAGTTTCTTACAAAACTAAACCTACTCACACCATGTGATCCAGCAATCATGCGCCTTAGTATTTCCTCAAAGGAGGTGAAAGTTTCAGTCAATACAAAAATCTTCATAAGGATATTTATAACAACTTTACTCATAATTGCCCAAACTTGGAAGCAACTAAGATGTCCTTTAGTAGGTAAATGGATATGTAAACAGCAGGACATCCAGACAATGGGATATTATTCAGTGCTAACAAGAAATGAACTATCGAGCCATGCAAAGACACGGGGGATCTTTAAATGCATATTATTGAGTGGAAGAAGACAATTTGAAAAGGTTACTGTGTGATTTCAACTGTATGACATTCTGGAAAAGGCAAAATATGGAGACAATAGAAAGATCAGTCGTTGCCACAGGTGAGGGGGTGGGAAGGATGACTAGGTGAAGAACAGAGGACTTTTAGGTCAGTGAAACCATTCTGTATAATACCATAATGGGGAATATATGTCATTATGCATTTGTCAAAGCTGATAGAATGTACCACACCAAGAGTGAACTAAACCTACCCATAAACTATGGATTTGGGGTGACAAAGATCATACAGTCAAAGCTATGGTTTTTCCAGTAGACATGTACAGATGTGAGAGTTGGACCATAAGGATGGTTGAGGGCAAAGAATTTATGCTTTTGAACTGTGGTGTTGGAGAAGACACTTGAGAGTCCCTTGGACTGCAAAGAGATCACACCAGTCAGTCCTAAACGATATCAACCCTGAAAACTCATTGGAAGGAGTGATGCTGAACCTGAAGTTCCAATACTTTGGTCACCTGATGTGAAGAGTCGATTCACTGGAAAAGACCCTGATGCCGGGAATGATTGAGGGTGAGAGGAGAAGGGGGCAACAAAGAATGGGATGGTTGGATGGCATCACCGACTCAGTGGACATGAGTCTGAGCAAACTCTGGGAAATAGTGAAGGAGAGAGAAGCCTTGAGTACTGTAGTCCTTGGGGTCTCAAAGAGTCGGATGTGACTTAACAACTGAAAAGCAGCAGCAACAGTGATTTGTCAATGTGAGTACATCAGTTTTAACAAATGCACCATTTTGATGTGGGATATTTGTAGTGGGAGAGGCTGTGGGTGTGTGGGGACACAGAGTATATGGGAACTCTCTGTACCTTCTGTTCAATTTTACTGTGAACCTAAAACTGCTCTAAAAATAAAATCTATTAAAAATGTGAACCATGTATATATATTTCCATTAAAATTAAGAAATAATTTACATAACATAAAATTCATTCCTTTTCAAGGTTCAATTCAGTGGTGTTTAGTATATTCAAAAGGTTGTGTAGCCATCACCCCCATCTAATTTTAGAACATTTTCATCATCCCCAAAAGGTTTGAAATTCCATATTTGTGAGCAGATAGATAGTTGTTCTCCATCCCTCCCTCTCCCCAGTGCCCCAGCAACTTTTAATTTACTTTCTGTTTCCACAGATTTTATATGCTTTCATTTCTCTTGGGTGTATACCTAGAAGTGGAATTGTTGGATCATATGGTAACTATGTTTACGTTTTTGAGGACCTGCCATACTGTTTTCCAAAGTGGCTGCAACATGTTATATTCCCACCACCAGTATAGGAACTTCTCCATAACCTTGTGAACACTCACCAGCTTTTTTTTAAAAAAAAGTCATTCTACCAGCATGAAGTGGTGTCTCATTGTAGTTTGATTGTATCTCCCTGATGGTTAATGATGTTGAGCATCTTTTAATGTGTTTATTGGCATTTGTCTATCTTCTTTGGATGACTTCTGTTCAGATCCTTTGCTCATTTTAAAAATGGGTTACTTATCTTTTGTTATCGAGTTGTGATACTTCTTTACATATATTTAGAGACAAGTCCCTGATTGATAAGATATATAACTTGCAAAATGTTTCTCCCATTTGTAGGTTGTCTTTTCACTGTCTTGATAGTGTCCTCTGTAGCAAAACAGGTTTTAATTTTGATGATGTCTAGTTTATCTACTTTTCTTTTGTTGCTTGTGCTTTTGGTGCCATATATAAGAAAGTACTACCAATTCCAAGGTCACAAAGATTTATTGCTATGTTTTCTTTTGAAGGCTTTTGTAGTTTTAGCTCTTACATTTAGCTCTTTTGTCCATCTTTGAGTCAAATTTTATAGTTGATGTAAGGTTACAGGACAGGTTCATTCTTTTCCATGTGAGTCTCCATTTGTATCAGCACCATTTGTTGAAAAGACTTCTTTTCACCATTGAATGGTCTTGGCACCATTGTTGAGTGAATTGACCATAAGTGTGAGGGTTTCTTTTTGGACGCTTAATTCTTATATATATTTGGCTGCACTGGATCTTAGTCGCAGCAAGCAACTAGTCCTCCTGCATTGGGAGCATGGAGTCTTAGCCACTGGACCACCATGAAAGTCCTTGTTTTTCTTTTTAAAACTGTTTTGGCAATTCTGAATCTCTTGCATTTCCATGTGAATTTTCAGATCAGCTTATCAACTTCTGCAAAGAAACCATATGGAATTCTGATACGAATGTACAGCATCTGCAGATCAGTTTAGGAATATTGCTGTCCTAACAACTTTAAGTCTTCTGATTCATGAGTATAAGCTGTCTTTCCATTTATTTAGGTCTTCTTTAATTTCCTTCAGCAATGTGCTGCAGTTTCAATGTACAAATCTTGCACTCCTTCTGTTAAACTTACTCCTGAGTGTTTTATTTCGGGTCCCTTGGAGATCCTGAGTAAAGCTATCTCCCCCATGTTGTGAGTGATCATCCAGTGTGAGTGTATGCATTGGGGGCTCATTCACAATGCTTCAGTTCTAGGACAATACCCAGATGCTGGCTAACATGCTCTGTTTTGCTTATGCTCTGAGGGACCCCTCCCAGGAGCAGCAGTTTTATTTCACAAGAACATGTTAACACCTCTCAAAGACAAAGGCAACTTGAAAGATCTGACTCATCACAGAGATGAGTCCCTTCTTCAGACACCAAAGGAGACCCGGAAACCATCAAAAGCTGAGGCTGGGAAACCCAACTTCCTGCTTCTGGCCTCAATTCCCCACCACCGTTACCACCATGACCACTAAAAATGAAACCAAACCCAACACACACCCTCCCCAAGTCATTCTCCTTGTGATTTATCTCCCTGCTTCCT